TGCTTTAAACACCCTTTCCTGTATTACAAAGCCGACATAGAGCTGTAGGCAGTGACCTTGGGGTCAGTATGAGGGTCCATTGTGCTTGGTCCCACAACAAATGGTCCTACAGTTCTTCCTCTGTGCAAAACAATGGATTTACAGTTTTCAATAAGCCCACTGCAATCCGCAAGCCAACAAACATCCTTATTCTGTACCAGGCTCAGCCATCCTGCAATGTCAAGTGACAGGAACTGTACTTCAATCAGATCCATGAACAATCGGCCAGGGGAAGTGTAGAGCCACCTGGTGAGAACTAATTCGCAGGGCAGTCAAACTGGACACATTCTGTTTTAATCATAGTAAGCGAGCCTTATTAAATCAATTTGATCATGGAAACTCAATGAAACGCTATCAAATACTACACTGTGATTTGTCAGAACTTGCTTCAACTAGTATTATGAATTATGAAAGAGCATGTTACACTTGACTATCTCGGTAGAGGCAACCCTCAACATCTCTTTGAAAAAGAACAAACTAATTATGCTGGGCAACCTGCGACAAGGCATCTCATGGTTCGAGACCAGTTGAAACCATTCTTGATGAGGTTCAATAGATTTGCTAGCTGCGGCATATACCGTACAATTAATTACCTTCCTCAGAAATGTTCTAGTGGTTTTGAAGAGTCTACTTGAGTAAGAGGAAAATAACATCAGTATATCAGTATCATGAAACCCATTCTACTCCTCATAACATCTATAGAGCTGCTAGACTGTTACTCACTGCAGTTTTCTCTTCATTGTCACAGTAGCACTGTTGTCCCTTGAGATGCACACTAGACGTCTGAAGAAGAACTTCTATTCCTCTTTACAAACCATTTGGTTCAGAGGTCAGGGCAATATCAGCATGTTGGTGAATAGCTGTGTGCGCACAGTTCTTTTAAGGTAAAATCCTCAAAAAAAGTTGATGTTGAGTTGAAAAAAGAGATAAAAATAAAGGATGCATCGCTTCATAGATCAAGGTAATTCTAAGAAGAAGATGTTAAAAAAAATCCCTGTAAATGTGTTTGTTATGTTGCAAATAAAAGCCTTGTAGGCAGAGCTCAGACCTGGTAACCCAAGTTTGAGTCCTTTCTGATCTCGCCTCACCTTTTCTCCCACTTCCTGTCTGAAAAATGTTCATTAATTTAACAGGAAAAAAATATTATGTTATAGTAAAAATTAGTTAATAGTGTTACTTTACCATAAAAACACACACACATATATATATATATAGATAAATCAGACAGCATGTAAGCTTACTGTAAAATGCTGAAAAATATATATTTGGAAGAATTTAATTTACAATTTAATATATTATTCAAAAGTATTTTTGAATTTTATTGCAAATTGTAAATACAATTTGCAATAAAACCCCCTAAAAGAACATTACCATAAGTCACTGCTATGCATCATATTTCATTATATTATACTGTATATTAATGCTTCTATTTTCCTATATGTTTTTGTTACATTTTATATTTATTGCATAATTTTTAATAATGCAAAACCTAAGTGTTTGTCTGGTTTGTCCTATTTTTGTCAGTACTGTAATCTGTTTCTCAGAAATTCATCTTGGAAGGCAACAGAGGTTCTTTTTTTTTTTTGTACCTAAACAATTCAATTAACGAAATGTTCTTTCCACACATAGCTTTAATGCTGACTTCTATTCTTGTCCTGCTGACAGATCGCAGGACTGAACACAGCAAGGGATTTCAATGCGGATGAAAAGTCAGGGTTTCAATAAAATGTTTACACTATATTTTCTTCACTGTCAAAAGTAAGTGAGGAAGCAAAATCACTATGGGGAAGAAACTATCTAGAGGCTTTTTAAATTGTTTCTGCATGATATGACAAGTAAAACAGGGACGTACTATGGTGCCAATTCACTCCCTGCTCTCATATCCATCTGTCATTTTGCCAGCAAATGTGTGCACTTTACATCTACATTTTAGTGACAGAACTATAAGAGGACTGCAAGTTTTAACAGAGTGGCTCACACGGACCTCTGCACCTCCTAAGCCTTCATTCGCAGGTCTCAGCAGAATCAGAGTTGGTGTTGCATTACATATTCGTTGAGAGACTCACTCAGCTTTCTGCCTCCTACAAGCCGGTTTAGCATTTCCAGTAGCCTATGCTGACAGCACACTTCATCCCCCTCAAGATTTTGGACCTGCAAAAGGGGAAAGGCTTTATTCTCCACTACAAGTGGGTTTCTTCTCTTAAAAAGGCACGGTTGATCAAGCCAGAGCAACATTAGGGGGGCACAAACCCTCCTGCATATAGTTTCGCAGTCACTGGCATGCAACGTTTTGAGCTCCAATAAGCAAAGTCAAGCAAGTCCCTGCCAAATGTCTGCATCATATGCAAATAACACATGTTCAAGGACAGCAGAGTAATCAAGAAATTCATAGGCTAAAAAAAATCTATTATGTATTGCAGTAACTAATCGACAAATTGAGAAATGAAGCTAAAAAGGAACCGTTTTGCTGCAAATGAATGGAAAACAACGTTTGCTGGTTGCAGCCAAAATCTACATAACAGCCATCGCCTAATTCCAACATACATAAAGAGTAATGAAAGAAATGGTGGTGGTGATAATAATAACAAACGGCGATTCACAAATGAAAAAGAAACAGTTGTAGCAGCACAATTAAACGTTTCGTAACGATAAGAAGTGCGAGTGCGGTCTGTCTTCACCTACCTGCAGCTGGAGTTCAGCGACACGCGCTCTTCTGAAGTGAGCGCTCGCGGTCATCCACCGTCCTCCTCAAAGAGCCTCCGCGTTCAACGAGGACTCACCGAGTCCGTGCCTCGTTCTCCTTCCAGTCACGTTATATGAAGCCTCGTCCGTTCACAAGACTGTAGTCTCATATTATTTGTCAGTCAGTTGCAGAGCGCCTCTCTGGGCGGCGGAGAGTGAACGTGAACTGCTTTCTGCGCTGCCTTAAATATCCAATTCCATCGACGCAGCGCCGCGGGCCATCTGAGTCCGCGTGAAGATGAAGATGAAGATGAAGAAGACGATGTCCTCTCTATGATCTGAGGGAAACGCTCCAGAAGGAGTCCGTTCTTGTGTAATGTTAAATGGGTTAAGTCCCTCGACAGTAAAACAATTCACTGAAACAATCAATCTTGCGTCACTACACCCAGATAGCTGCCGCTTTCACAGTTTTTTGGGGGAAATTCTTTTCTTTATTTTTGACAAATAATAATCATATGAATAATACCGAGTCCGTGCCTCGTTCTCCTTCCAGTCACGTTATATGAAGCCTCGTCCGTTCACAAGACTGTAGTCTCATATTATTTGTCAGTCAGTTGCAGAGCGCCTCTCTGGGCGGCGGAGAGTGAACGTGAACTGCTTTCTGCGCTGCCTTAAATATCCAATTCCATCGACGCAGCGCCGCGGGCCATCTGAGTCCGCGTGAAGATGAAGATGAAGATGAAGAAGACGATGTCCTCTCTATGATCTGAGGGAAACGCTCCAGAAGGAGTCCGTTCTTGTGTAATGTTAAATGGGTTACGTCCCTCGACAGTAAAACAATTCACTGAAACAATCAATCTTGCGTCACTACACCCAGATAGCTGCCGCTTTCACAGTTTTTGGGGGAAATTCTTTTCTTTATTTTTGACAAATAATAATCATATGAATATGGACAAAACATTTACATTTAATTAATTTAATTTACGTTGCAATAATGACTATTACTTCACTTGATAAGTCGCCTAATTTACATTATTAGTATTATTATACAATGATTATTATTGTCATTATTAATAATATTATTTGTCAAAATAAATGGGATATTTAATAAATATTGGCATCACTTGTTATAATATAATAATTATTACAATTAATAATTAATATAATAATTATTATAAGATAATATAATACATCTTGTAAGTATATATTTTGTATATTTATTGTATTGTTTATTGTTTGTTACTGATACATAAAAATAATGATAAATACAATCATATGTATGTATGTATATTATAATATAATAATTAGCCTAATTTACATGATTAGTATTAGTATTACGATCGTTATTATTGTCGTTCTTAATATTATTATTGGTCAAAATAAATGGGATCGTTAATAAATGTTGAAATTAAGCGTTATAATATAATAATTAGCCTAATTTACATGATTAGTATTAGTATTACGATCGTTATTATTGTCATTATTAATATTATTATTGGTCAAAATAAATGGGATCGTTAATAAATGTTGAAATTAAGCGTTATAATATAATAATTATAATAATTATTTTAAAATAATATAGCTTGTAAGCACATAATATATCTTGGATATTTATTGGATTGTTTATTATTTGTTATTGATATATAAAAAAAATAATAAATACAATATATTATATTATATTATTATATATATATTGGTATTAGTATTCTAATACTTTATTATGATTTTGATTATATGCTTATGATTGTGATAATGATTATTATTAAAGCTTTTGACCATGAAATGTTAGGCTACTGTAATCTCTACGGATGGAGAGTAGCCTACTGTTTTTACTATATCAACTCGTTTCGCAGCAAGTTATGGCAAAATGCAGACAAATGAAACAGCTGGCACAACCTCTCACATCCTCACCTTGCAATAGCATATAGTTACATAACTATAACATACGTTTTATTATAGTTATGTTTAGTAGTAGCCAACATATATTTAATGATGGTCTGCACTGCATTGGAAAAATGGTATAACATTCTGTAGATTAACTGCACTGATCTATAATAGAGTAGGCCTCATTATATATATATATATAGATCAGTGATTAACTGTCACTAAAATTATAGTGCTGTTGTGGATGCAGTGTATGCATTGGATAAAATAAACTTCCTCAGCAATAGTTACAGTGTAAATAAAAGACATTGTGCGCTTTATTGGAGCAGTCAATCACTGATGACCACGCGTATAGTACGAGTCGTTAAAAACTCGCACTCCCATAATTCCTCGGCCGCATTGATGCATTGTGGGTAATTTTAAAGTAAAGACACGGGTATTATTTCCTGTAGTCACGCTGGACCCACTTTCGCTTCCACTCTTTCATTACTGACCGCAGTTGTCTGCTAAGGCCGCATTTGTTGTAGGTTTGGCTGTTAAAGCAGACGCGATGACCCAGAGATTCTTATTTAACGCTTCTTTACTTTACAAAGACATTTGCCCCGAGCAGTCGCGCTTCCTCATGTAAGTACTTTTCAGTTTTCCTCAACTCTACGTATTATACGGCTCATGATCAGTGTGGATTTTGAACATGCTGTGCTGCACATGCTCCTCGCCATGCTTTCTGCTGTAATGCCACAAAGCTACCAGTAGATGACCGACTACTCCTCTTTTTTTATGCACTTTGTGTTGCATTTGAAGACGTTTAGAGAGATTAGTTTTATAACCGTTACCCATTATTTATTTTTAGATCAGATAACTGATATGCAGAACCCAGGCCGCATTTGTTGTAGGTTTGGCTGTTAAAGCAGACGCGATGACCCAGAGATTCTTATTTAACGCTTCTTTACTTTACAAAGACATTTGCCCCGAGCAGTCGCGCTTCCTCATGTAAGTACTTTTCAGTTTTCCTCAACTCTACGTATTATACGGCTCATGATCAGTGTGGATTTTGAACATGCTGTGCTGCACATGCTCCTCGCCATGCTTTCTGCTGTAATGCCACAAAGCTACCAGTAGATGACCGACTACTCCTCTTTTTTATGCACTTTGTGTTGCATTTGAAGACGTTTAGAGAGATTAGTTTTATAACCGTTACCCATTATTTATTTTTAGATCAGATAACTCATATGCAGAACCATTTTTTATATCTGCTTTTTTGGCACAATACATTTAGGCTATTGGGCTACAACACTGGAAATGTAATATACCTGATAAATATATTGATGATGACAATAATCACATAATAGCAATAAAAAAAAATCTTGTTTTTACAAGTGCGCACTTGTTTTTGTAATTATTTATAACAAGTACAATAATAATACTGGTAATAATAATGGTTATTGTTATTAATGTAAATAAAAATAATGATTATTTGTTGATATTGTTACTATTGTTGTTAATAATATTAATATTTATGCAACATTGTTTTGCAAACTTAATGGTCATTGAAATGTCTTTTAATCTGTGTTTTGTGCTAAATATAACTGCTAAACCTAAAATTATGCACTTTTCTCACTTGAGAATAAAGTGCAACTACTTAGAAGAGCAATTTCTGCAAACAGTGATTGGAAAAATTTGCAGTATCTGTGATCTAATATTTCCTGTTGAATAGTTGCATTAATGGCATTGTTGGGTACTGTTCTTTAGAGGATAAATAATGGTTCCCTACTGTGAATTCTAGTTGCTTTATGTTGTTTCCTTAGTAACTATTCTTCAGTAAGCTTTCCCGGTTATCTCAGATAGTGTCAAATATTTTAGTGATGTTTTCAAGTGCAGTTCCAGTCATCATATTTCCACACATTTGTGGACATAACGGCATCATTAGCAGAAATGCACCATCAAGGTAATGAAATAAACGCGTGCACTCAAATCTCATCAGCTAAACAGCGTGTTGGTCATTTTACAGTTAATCATCATTAAATACTTATTCCTTTAATATTAAATGTGGATGGAAAATGTCTTATCTCTGTTGAAAACCCCATAGTGATTAACCACCACATATATGAATGACAGTGACACCTGATTTAAAATGCTTTTACCAGTGTTTTAGTGTAACAATCAAATCCAAATGAACAGGATTACAGCTTCAGTTAAAAAAAAATATTTATAATTATTATTATTAGTATCTAGATAGTATCATAAGTGTCATCTGTTCATTCTTTTCAAGGGCAGCTAATTCAAATATATCGTCTGCGTCACAGAGAGTCTAGTAAAGTAATGGTGAAAAGGCAAATAAAAATGAGTGGTAAAGATTTGCAGAAGTTTCTTGCTTTATTTAATGCTTCTGAAGCTGCTATGAATCACGTGATGTTTTGGATAGTACTAGCAACAGAGTGAGCGACGATACATGAAGCTTAGCTTTGGGCTGTGGCATGTTTTTCTTGGATTATATGTTTCTTGACCCCATTTTCAGGGTCAGCGCGCTGCATGTTTTGAGCGTTAGTTGACTTGTTGTGCTCGGCGAGTACACAGTACATCTGCACTGACTCACAGCGTACATGTACGTAAGTTACTGGAATCTTTTGTCTGAAAGTATGCGTGCCATGAGACCCCTTTTTGATGAATTGCACAGAGGTTGCGTTTTTATTTATAAACCACTTGTTAAGCTCACTCTCAATATCCTCCACAGGTGTCATTGTAAGACACAGGCTTTTGCTGCCTGGCACATCGATTGGGATAAGCTGTTGTTTCCGCTGGAGGATTCAGTGGCCTTATTCTCTTTCTTGATTTTTATCTCAAGTGGTTTAGCAAGAGTTTAGTCTTTTAGCTGAGGCAGCACATTGTAAACTGAATTTAAAGGTTCTTTATCTTTGTTCTGAGAGCACTTAAAAGGAGCTGCGTTATTAATAGACAAATGATTTGAATTCGAGTACCACAGGGAAGAAGTCATGTGGTGATATTACATGCCTTTATTGGCAGTGCTGCGAGGATGTTTACTAATTTTTTTCCAAAAAATAAGCAAATGTATAAATAAAAGTGAGAAAATAGTAAAGTCATTTTTTGTAAAATGTATTACAATAATGAATAAATAAAAGCTCTTTGTGTTTTTTTTTCTTTCAGTCAAAAAGGCAAATAATTCAAATTAAACAAAACATCCTTTTGGAATTAAACAAGCTTTATGCTGTTAAACAAAACAATTTAAAAAAAAATACACTTTCTCAGAAACAAACAAATAAAATCAAATAAATTAATTAAAGAAATGAAGGAAATAATAAATAGGACTTTTAAACAAAAGAAAACAAACAAACTAAAATAAAAGAGGTGCTTTTTTCTTATTTCAAAAGGCAAATTACAACCTTAATACAAGTAAACAAAACAATGAAATAAAGCAAAAATAAATAAACAAATAAATACTTCAGAAAGTTTCAGAAAAGCTATAAATTAAAATAATAAAAACAGATCAATTAAATAAACTTAAATAAAAGTAGTGCTGTGTGATTGTTTGCTATTCTGCACATGTACAACTTTGTCAAAAAAGCAAATAAATAAATAAAAATAATACAATTAAATAAAAGACATGAAACAAACCAAAAAGCAAATCAAATTAAAATTAATGAAAAAAAGAATTGGAACTCAATAAAAAGAGAATGTTTGTGGCACAGATGTTCATTGTTCGGATGACATTTATCAGACTTTATAGCAGGCAGGAATGATTTCATTCACACTTCATCACTACCCAGATAATGGCTCCATGTCTTATCATTGGGAACAAGGGGTCTGCTCCGACTCTGTGGCATGCTGTGAAACATCCGCTGTGGCATCACAAACAGTTGCAGATGATGGCACAGTGGATGATTAGAATTAAAAACCCTGCCCCCCTTAACATGCACGTGCCACACAATAACAACATGGAGCTTTTAGCAATGTGAACTAATTTTAGACAGGATTATGAAGCTTAGATAAAGGAGGTAGGCAGAACAGCACCATGTCCAAAAATAGGGTGCACACACACAAAGTCTCGAGGGAAATTAAAGCACCTGGGAAGTCATGGCCATGAGTTCAGGCCACTGGCAGGCTGTGTGTACAACACTTTGACCTCAGTATTTTTGTACATCGTAATTCTTACTGAGGCTTCCTGAGAATACTTGTACTTTTAGTATTTGACAGAATATTGAGCATATCAGAGTGCAGCATTGGGTAGTGAGAAAAATATATTTTTATTCATAGTCTGCCGCAGAGTTTTCACCCTGCATGTAGGAATCTATAAGATCTAAACAAACCGCAGTGTTACTTCATCAGATTGGGCGCAAGACCTCGTGCAAGCTCATAAATGATTCATAAGCTGCGATATTTGAGTCTTGACTCCTGTAAAGTCTGAGATTTAAAGACTAACTCTTTTACTGCTTTTTCATTGCAGGCAAAGGCATCAGAGCATTGGTAAGTTTCAGCTTTGTTATTTATATTAATAGACTCATATGGGATTTTAAAGTGCTTATTTGAATATAGTCCCAAATCTATATAAGACCTTGTAGGCAACAGAACAGACAGTTGGTTTTGAAAAGGAATGGTAAACCAAGTTAAACCCATTAAGTCCGACCACATTTCCTGATGTAAAACTAGAATCCATTTCTACGGCCTTCACAAACCTCAAAGACGGCCCGACAGACGGGTAGGATGACCACATATTGGAAAAGCTGTCCAAAATGCCAAACCATCCTCAGAATAGAGCATAGCATCACCTGTTTTATTTTAACCAGTTGCCATGCTAAAAACCTCCACTATATTTCTCTCTCCATTCCAGCGTCTGCCCTGCCGGTGTCTATGATCTGCCCCTTCTGTTTCCAGTGGCGACAACTGGGCAATCATCACGTGCGTCTGCGGCCCAAGCGGAAGCCCACGGCGACGATTAGAAGACTTCTGAAGAGGGAGTCGGCAGGAAAGAGGCTGAGCGCAGAACAGACTGTAGTCCTTCAAAAGTTTAAAAGAGCCTCCAATGCTCTGGTGAGGTCACGTCCACCTGTTTTATGTCCACTTCAGTTTAAATGTCGTCTCTTTACCGACCTAGTTCGTTCTGCCCATTCCTGAGTGACTTGAGATTGGATTAGGTGGATGATTTTAAACCAGGAAGAACAAACACCATGTTGCCTTATATGTACACACTGCTCAAAAGCTTGGGTTAGTCACCACCACCGTTTAAAATAATCAAAAGAGACAGTAAAGACATTTATTTTGGAAACTTTCTTGGTTTCCACAAAAATATTAAGCAGCACAACTGTTTTCAATATTCGATGATAATAAGAATGTTTCTTGAGCACACAATCATTATATTGATTTCTGAAGTATCATGTGACACTGAAGACTGGAATAATGGTGCTGAAAAGTCAGCTTTATCACAGGAATAAATTACATTTTAAAATATATTCAAACAGAAAATAGCTATTTTTAAATTGTAATATTTCATAATATTTTTTTTACTATATTTCAGATTAAATAAATGGAGCTTTCTTTCAAATACATTTAAAAAAATCTTACTGACCCCAAACGTTTAAATAATAGTGTACAAATAATAGGCAAAATATTCAATCTATAATAACAGCACACAATTGTGTGTACATTTGAAGTACATTTTTTATTTTAATCTGAGCATAAGACATCTTTCAAAAGCGAAAAACTAAATCTTACCAACTCAAAACATTTGAGCAGTAGTGTGTATATATAGTAATAAATATACAATAGTGGGCAAAAAAGCAGTATCATAAAATACATTTTAAATATTCAATCATAACAATCGTTTCTGAATCGTAACCATAACACTAAATATGGAACCTTTTAATTCAAGAGACATGGTTCACATTTTTGCTTTTTTTTTTTTTTTTTTAAATCCTTTCTTTAAAAATATCGGTAACGCATTATAAAATTAGTTTTAATGCATTAGTTATGCCTTGTAATGCACCTTATAATGCATTGTACAATCTCATGAATAATTGTAACACTTTAACACTTATTCATTGTTAAATTCATCTCATTCAATTCATTGTTAAACTATGCATTTTAAATTTGGTTATAATTATTTACGACAAGAAAGTATTACAGTGCACATTATGAATAATTATAATGCCTTGTACCCTTTAATAACTCTTTATAATGCATTATACATAAAGGCTTGAAGTAAAGTGTTACCCTAAAGTGGCATAGAGACAGGAAATTATGGGTGAAAGAGGGGGAAGGGGATTGGGACATGACCCAGGTCAGACTCCAAACTGGGGTCCTTGTGAAGCAGCAGCTCTTGCGTATCTTATCTCATTTTATTTTTAAACCCCTTAGCCATCTTTCTTGCTAGACTTCCATTGTAAGTGCAAACTAAGGGACACGAGGAAACAATAGTCTGGTAATTGAACATTCGTTTGCAAATAAACCTATATTTCTCTTTGTCTGCTGCTCTTTCAGTAGACACAGACAGGATCATTGATGTGGCCCTAAAAGCAGTTCTCATTGACTGCACTTAGGTTGTATGGCCTATATGAATGCACTTTACTGATGCACTCTTAGAAGACTGTAGGGCACAATTAAACACTTAAAAGCCTTTGGATGTTTAGCCAGGAGTATGATTTCTATGTTTAGAGATATGGTTATAGACTATCATTTATCTGACAGAAAGGCATTAATCACACACAGAAATGCTCCTTTTATAGTGATTCATTTAGCATCAGATGACTTTCATCTGAAAGCCAGGAAGATCCGCTTAAGATTATTTAGAGCGGAAAAGTTCCCATTTTCTGAGGCTCTTCTGAAGTGTGACTGAATCAGTTGCGTGATTGGGGGTGTTTAGTGAAATGTGGTTATTTGTAGAGGTATTTAACCCTCAAAAGCACTTTTACAGAGGTCTACGTGCTGGTGTACATGCATAGCTGCATGCTGCGTGAGATTTGTGGTTCTGGGGGTGGAGTGGTAGGCGTTAGACTGCTAGATTCTGTGCACATTGTTGGCGTGTGTTTCTCTGCGGGAGAGGAAGATTTTGGCAAGACCAATAATGGACTTGATAGACAGCCAATGTCAGCAGAGTTCATATCTGTTAACGGTGTCTTATTTTTCCATAATATGGTAAATGGGACCGTGTTAGCTGTGAGGGAAAGTGTATTTAGGGAACTTTCAAGGCAATCATTTCTTTTGTGGAGGTCATGGAAGATCATTTTGCTCTGTTTGTCAGCTTTGAATAGATGATTTGTCAGATTGAATTGAACATAAATAGCCTCATATCTATTTTAAGATGAAGAACAATTTGTCATTCTAGATTAATCAGATATTTTAAGTTGGGCTGTGCGATATGGACAAAAAAAACCTTTTGCGATTTCTTTGATCAATTTTGCGATTTCGATTTTAATCACGATTTTGACACACACAGACATGCTTTACAGTCATTAATGCATTCAGTGTGATTTTGAAACATATTTCCAAAAGAAAACCAATTAGAGCTTTATCAAAAAGCTGTAACATGTCTCTAGAACAGACATAAGGCAAAATAATCACTAAGTAAAGGTGTAACAAAATGTCTCTAGAATAGACATATATGTCAGAAAAAGAAAAAAAATACTGTGTCCAGGGATTTTTTTTTTGCCATGCATTGGTCATAGATCTCTTTAGGCCCTTTCGCACCGCTTTAGTTCCAGAACTAAATGTACGGTACTAAAATACTGGGACGATTTTGCGCGAACTATTTCCCAGTACCATACCCTGCTCCGGAGTAGGAGCTAATTTGGTTCTCAAAAAAGGCAGTCCGGTACTAAAATCGCTCCCAGTTCCGGCGGTGCGAACACGCCAAAAAGTGGGTAGTTCCACAATTAGTTCTGGTACTATGAAAAGGTTCCTGCGGTGCGAAAGGCCCTTTTGTGGCGTTGCCTCAGATGTTGAACTAGATTTGTTGCGCCAAGTTCACACGTACTCTGTCTGCAGTGCGTATACAGTATGTGTATGTGGTGCAGAAGCAGCATGGACTCATTTTGCTTTCGCACAGGACACGTTTGCAGTTCGCTCCTGATCCGCGGCTGTTTACCACAAACACAACATTTATCCATTATGTTGATTTCAAAATCCAAACATTGTTTCTGAAAATGCTTTTTCAGCATTGTGATTCTCTTTTATCACAGTACAGTAATACAATCTTTCATAGACATTGTCGTGTCTTGTAAATAAAGACTCTGGATTCGAACTGTATTTACGTGTTTTACTGAAAACTCTCAAGACAACCTTACATGTCACGTTATACAACTCGCTCCATCTAGTGGCAGCCTGTGGTTACACACCAATAACCCCACATCTCCCCTTCCTAGAGAACAAAGGGTAGACTACCTTTGTCTCAACAGATCTTAGAGGATTATTCTGCCTCTTTTGCTGAAAGATCTGCTCTTATCTAGCTCCTTGAACAAACAGGTAGTTTCAACATTGGTGCTTGCTTGCTTGAACATTTGTCCACAATTATTTACATTAAGTGGTGGGGAACCTGTACCCACACCACCCACAGTTCACAGGTTCAGTCTTACTGGTTTCACTATTCGCCTCCCATACTTGGTTCTAGGAGTGGATGTCAAATCTGGAACATCCTGCTTCTCTGACTCCTGAGTGGTAGGGAGTGACTCAGAGGTTGCAACAGAAAGCTGATCAGGTGTTCCGCTGTTGTCCTCCTTGGCTTCTGTTTGCATTTGTACCAGATGGTGACGGTTACGTCTCACAGTCCCTTGCTGAGTGTTCACAAGGTAAGACCTTGGAGCAGAGTGACTGGCAACAATTGTTCCTGATTCTTTAGCATCAGATATCCAGACATGATCTCCTGGCTGCAGTATGCTGAGCTTTCTGGCTCTGTGACTCCTATTGAAACGCTCTGCATCTGCATCCCTCCTTTCTTTTGAAGAAACAACCACGGTATCAGAAAGTACTGTATTTAGCAACGATGGCAGTGTTGGCACAGTCATTCGGAGCCTCCTACCCATAAGAGGTTGAGCCGGACTGTACCCATTTTGCAAGGGGGTTGCTCTATAAGCTAAAAGAGCAAGGTATGAATCATTGGCTTTCTTGAGAAGAGCCTTCACCGTCTTGACTGCCCGTTCAGCCTCACCGTTGCTCTGGGGAAATCTTGGGCTACTAGTTACATGAACAAATCCATATGAAGCTGCAAAGGATGCAAATGAGTGCCCAGAGAATTGTGGCCCAATGTCAGTAACCAGTGTCTCTGGAACTCCATGACACGCGAATATGGACTTCATGTGAACAATGACGTCGGTAGACCTGGTAGGTGTTAACTGAGCTATCTCCACATACCTGGAGTTGTAGTCTACCACAAGCAGGTACGTCTTGTTTCCCAACATGAACAAATCTGCCCCTAGCCTTTGCCATGGCCTGTCAGGGAACTGAGTGGGCATAAGGGGTTCTTTTGGGTTCTGTCTCTCTTTAATGCATGTCCTGCAGTTGAGGACTATTTCCTTCAGCTGATGACTTAACCCTGGCCACCACACTGACTGACTTGCCCGCTCTCTGCATTTCACAAGTCCCAAGTGTCCCTCGTGCAATTTGTTTAGAACGCTGCTTCTCATGGTGGCTGAAATAACCAGCCTCATGCCTCTAAGCAGCAGTCCATCTTGCACAGTTAAGACAGCACGTTCTGCCCAATATCGTTTCAGTATTGGGTCACTCTTGCTGCACTCTGTCCACCCTTCAACGCACAGTTGCATTACACCGGACCAGACATTGTCACTCCTTAATTCCTCTCTCAACTGTCCCAGATACATTGTACTTGCATCTAAATATATGTTCTTATCCTCCCAAAGTTCTCTGTCTTCTTGTGACTCACTCTGTTTTACAGGAGCGCGTGACAGAGTGTCAGCTACCCACAAGCTCTTTCCTGGCACGTGAACGATGGAGTAGGAGTACCGCATCAATCGCATTTTAAACCTCTGAATATGAGGGGGAAGAGCATCCAGAGCTTGAGCTCCTAGGAGACTCAGTAATGGCTTGTGATCTGTCTCCATTTCAAAAGGCTTGCCAAATAGAAAGTCTCTGAATCTTTCGCATGCCCATGTGAGACCCAAAGCCTCTTTTTCCACTTGTGCATACCTTTGCTCAGTCTGAGTGAGCGATCTCAATGCAAAATCTAACGGTTTCCATCCTTCCTGCCATCTCTGCATAAGGACGGCCCCTAGTCCATAGG